AAGGATCACAAATTGCAATACAAAGTTCCAGCTGGCTCTAAATGCAAGTAAAAATCCACCTTGAGAGTGGTCCAAAGAGGTTATGAAATTTCCATCCCTGAAGGTGCTCAGAATGCAGCTGGACATGGCTATGTGCAACCTGATTTAACTCTGAAGACAACACTGTTTTGAGAAAAAAAAAAAAAAAAAATCAGACTAAATGACCTCCATGTGCCTTCTAACCTGATTTTTTTCCATGATTCTATGAGCGTTCCTACATCAGAGCTACACACTTCCAGTCTTATATTTATATGTATGTTTCTAATCAAAAATAGCTGAAGGTTATCTTCATTTGGGTTCAGATTCAATGAAAGAATAAGTGGAATTTGCATGAAATTTGGGGACCTATATTTAAAAATTTGACCCTCTTAAATCATGCCCTTCTGTCTTTAGAGTTAACATCCCTCTGGGACTTAAAGCTCTGCTCCTGAGAAGGCGTAGCTTTACATAAGTTTTGAGGTTTTTGGCTTCTATCCTTTGCCTTATTTCCCCTGTGACCTACAAACTAGGCTTTCCTGTTCAGGTGCTCGGAAATCCTTACTGGCTTATCACAAAATAGTTACGAACATCACTTTACTTTAAAACAATACGAAATTATAACCAACAAACCTGCCATCTTTTTTAAATATGAGCTCAGTTGTTGGATCACTTGCTCAGAAAGGATGAAAACTATCCTCAAGTACCTCCCAATTGAAGGAATTTAAATCCATAGCTGCTGCTCTTTGACAAGTGTCAAGGGAGTACTGGTCACTTAATTTCCTTAGCTCAGTGAGTCTTTACTCTTCCTTTACAGCTTCACAATCAGGGGCTTAAATGGAATTTGAGCATCCAATTCTCTTTGCCTCTGAGCCTATGCCAAAAGACAGTCAATAGTTAAACTATGGGTTGGGTTTGGCTGAACATTTCCTTTTTAACCATTATTCTAAGAAAAACCTGCACAACCATAAAACTTGCTAAATTCTTTACATGAACTATTCGATGCCTTATTCAGATCATTGAGAGACTTATTTTGGATATTTGATTGAAAATTCATTCAGGCACTTAAACAGTACAGAAAAATGAATGAGTACACATTACATTATACAAGACAGTGATCTTCTTTATGAAGCAGCAAATGAAGATCTTTCAGTGCTAGGAACCATTTTTTCAAGGTACCTTCACAGGTTGCAGGAAATGTATGAATCACACATATAAACCCTAAGTATCACATTCAGACAAAAAATTCAGTAGTTTGACAAGCCGGTGAGAGGTGAAAACTACAATTCTTGTTTTCACTAGCCAGATCAGAGGCTTGAGTACTGAAAAGTTAACAGTGATTTTTTAAAAAAAATCACACCAAACAATTTAGCTACTTATGTTACTGAATTATGATTAACTTGAGAAAAGCTCTGATATAAGTTTTCAGATTCCAAAAATGATTGCTTACACCTCAACATGCTAGAGGCAGTGAAAAAAGACAATTTGAATTTATGAAAGTTTCATTATTAATAATAAATGTCTCCTGTTGAAAGAGGCAAACAAGCTATGATAGCGAATGTATTTCCTGTAGTGTTTCATTAGTAAGCCAAGAAGTATTAGGAAAAAGGAAATTTAAAGTGTTCTTGTCTACCCCAGAAGAGGTCAAATCCTGGACTGGTTCTCTTCAGGATTTTAGTAAGCTTCTATGATTGTCAGAGAGACTTGTTCTGTCGTTGTTTTTTTTAAACTTACACTACTGAAACATATTTCTCAAATTTACATTTACTATGTATGTTTTATATAAATTACGCTTTGTTATAATCTGCATCTCCTAAAGGAAAGCTATCTCCTGGAGAAACAATGCACTTCACAGATTTAAGAATCAAAAAAGTATCAGAAAAGCAATCTTTTTTTTACTAGAAAATGATGGAAATATGTCAGGCTTTCTAGTGAAACTAGAAAACTAGAACTAGAAACCAGAAAACTAGAACTTCGCTCAAGTATTGAGATACAGGACTTGTAGACCACAGAGGTCTACAAACATCTATCAAAATTTCTCAAAATTCTGGGTCAAAAGAGGTTTTCTCCTCATCCTCCTCTCTCCAAGATCTTCAGAGAATTCTGTTACAAAAATCTATTCATAATCTACCAGGAACGTTCAAAATTTGTCATTACATGGTTTTACAAGGCTTTCTTTGCCTGGATATCTCTGTAAAGCTCAAGGATTGACTAGATGCCACATATCTGGCATCTGTTCCAGTTCAGATGGAGGGCACTTCCACAATACTCCCTGCTAGAGGACCTGATCCCAAGCCCAACCAAATCCATGAGGAATGCTCCTACTGTCTTTATTAACAGACCACAAATCTGAAAGTTTGCACTCAATTCTACTGATGTTAAAAAAAAAAAAAAAAATCTAAGTTTAAATTATTAAAATCTTTTGCTGCATGTGAAATTTATTGTTCTTCCATGGTTTTTTTTGACAATGTAGTAACTGATAACTTTAAAACACTTCAGTGACTTAACTGAAAACACAGAGCACAACATATGCATCTAAACATAATATAGCATTAGTTAATGCCATGTTTTCTTAGATCAGTGCACTTTAAAATCAACTATCAAGTTTTCCAGCTTTTAAATATGCAGAGCAACTGGAAAGAAAAATCACATCTTTGCCAGATAATGTTCAACCCCTGATTAAATAAAGATGTGCCAAGGCAGAGATACTTTATGCCTCAGGAGACAGCCATAGTAGAATTGCGAGTGTATTTTATATGTGAATTAGAGGTAAGACGTAATGACATGAGATGAAAGGCTCAGCCATGATTTTAATAAAGGGGGAGACAGTACTTCCCTGTGGACCCCATATGCAAAAGAGTGAGACTCAACAAGAATAGAATATGAAAATAAGAAAAGATTCAGCAAAAACTACAATGTTTCAAAGTTAAGACCACCATTAAAATTCATCACATTTTACTGAAGTTCAAAATTCAGAGGGCAAGCTTTAACACATTTCTGATAGTTTGTCATGTGAAACATAAGCTATATCATCAGTAAGCTGGAAAAATTTTCAGGTTTTAGATATGATAGAATTGGAGTTTGAAACTTTAAAATTTCATTTTTTAAAGGTTTCTAATAACATGATCTAAAAAATAATTTGACTGAATCTGTTATTTTGAAAGCATGGTTTTTACGTTTTAACTGCTCAGTGCTTTTAGCAGTCCTTAGAAAAAGCTGTTACCTATTGCTCTATTGATATATTTATGGATACAGCAAAATTCCAAAGAACCATTATTTCTTTTTTTTCCCCATTAAACGGAGGAAAAAGTTTGAGATTTTGCACAGGTCTCTGTGCATTAAAAAAAAAAGAATGAGAGACATGCCTTTGTAAGGAAAAGACATGAAAAGAGCAAAATGAATGGATGAACTGCTTAAAGGAAAAAAAAAAAAATCCTGCTTTATTTGATCTTTTGTGATAATCACACTCCTGGCACCCTGCCAGCTAGGCTGAGCACACTGATGTCTGGCCAAGTAGAGTAATCTCTTGGTTCAAGTCTGAGGTCTGTGATGAAAATTACAAAGCAGGGACAAAGGAAAAATGCCACCTGTGATTTTATTCTGAAACTAATTTGACGGAAAAAGTAATACAATGCAAACAGCCTTTTCAGTAGAGTCTACAAAACTATGACTAAATTGAAACCAATGCAAGTAGATGGAGGTAGCTATCATGCAAATACATTTGGATCTGCAGGCGTTCCTTTTAAAAAGAACAGTAGATGTCTTTGTGACAGGTAAATTGCTTTGAAATTATGTTTGAAGTCCAAGGTCAAACTTTTAAAATGATAATTTTAACTTACATCTTCCTTTATTCTGGAGTCTTTTTGCATCTCCTACATAACGCATTTGAAACCAACAAAACCAGGGGAAAAAAAAAAGTTATCAATTAATTTCCTTAATTTACTTTCCATGAACCACCATTCATTATTGGTCAACAAACCCTTGAAATAAAAAACCTTCTCTTTCTCGGTTCATTCAGTAGTCTATATTTGAACTAGTTGCTCACAGATATATGGAGAAGCCACAAAATTCTGCACATACAATGTATTCAACTTAGAAACCCAGCCAGCAGTCTTCTACATTATTATTCAGATGCAAAGCAGAAAAAATCAGCACGTCACTTTCTTTTTTATATGTCTATTGTGTTTTCCTACCTTTTACTGAAAGGTTGTACATTATTAGCAGTACTGATCAAAGTTTGCTTGGGTTTTTCCTAACAAATATTGAAGATGATTCAGGATGGCTCAGAAGCTGGTTTTACAGATTTATTCTTTAAAAAAACCCAACACAACAAAACAGTTTTTTTTTCTTGTATGTTACTTCAATAAAAATCCACTGTTCACTGATCAAGTGACATAGGTTACCTTATTTTACCACCACCTTCACTTTAAAGTTGGGTAGTATCTTGCATTTGTATACATGCTTACTACTCTTCTCTGCACTAGTAAGGCTTGCCATACGCAAGCACCAGGATAATCCCTGATCTCTAGGACTTCACTGAGAACATTGCGTTTCAGCTATTTCAGAGTTGCTGCTCTTTTCCTCCTTCTTCAGGAACATTCTCTATAGATTTCCCATTCTCTTTGATATTCAAGTCTCTTTCTGCACTCTATATTTCTTCCCACCAATGGCAGTGCCAATCAAAAGAATGCTTCAATCACCACCTTAACCTTCTTGTACTTATGTTTTCAGGCCACTCCTTTTCTATATCTTCGTTTGCAATAAAAAAAAAACAACTCATTGCAGCATAGACAGTACAGCACTTACTAAATTCTACATTTTAAATATGCAGATATGCTCATAAATTTCTTACCTACACACACACATACACGCACATTAATACATAGAGAGAAAGCTTCAGGTATAAACATGCACATATTCACATGGATAGCGTAAAAATGATTCATAAAACCATGAACATTTATGTTTAAATGAAAGGTACCTACCTGGAATGAGCTGACCCAGTAACTGATGGCATCTGGAAAGGCTGAATACAGCTACTATGACCAAAAAAGGATAATGTTTCCATTTCATGATGTGTCCTTCCTTGCATTACACCAGCTCAGCAGCACTAACGTAAATGTTACCTGCAATACACAATGGAAATAAGAACACACAAATTAATGATAAATTTAAGGTACTTCCAAATGTTTTTGCCCAGTGTAACTCTATGAATCTCTATACTCTGTGAAGTATGCTGGTTTCAACAGTTTTAGCTATTAAAATAATGTTAAATTTTCTAACAATTAGGAAGTTGTAAGCCACAACCAGAATAGTAATGTATATCCTTAAAGAGCAGATGACCCCAAATCAGATGTTTTAAAGGGAGACACAAGGAGCCCCACAGTGCACATATATATTTTAAAGTGCTGCATGCTGTTTGGTTGTATAACGCAAGTTATTAAAGAAATTGCTCAGTTCAGCAACATAATTAAGTGTAGGTTTAATCCATCCCAGTTCAAGGAAATACTTAAACGCTTCCCTAAGTTGAAAACACTTCAACACTATTCAGCTTTCTATACAAGCAGGGTTAAAACTTTACACTAGTCCTTATGATACGGTGTTTTGCTGAATAAGGATTACGGATAATTTTACCCAGTAATAACTTGAACAGTTAAGGTAACTTTCTGGTGAGTTTGTGTTCTTAAGGGCTGAAAATTTTCATCTGACCGGCAGGAAAATGGAATCTTATGAAGGAAGAAAAACTTTTGAATGCAAACGTGACTTGTACACTCATTTTCCTGACCACGACAACTGTAGGTTGAAAAGTATTCACAACTCCACCACTGTTGAAAAATAATCTCTGCTAATCCCACTCGTTTCTTACGCTTCAACTATGTTAGTGCTTAGTGCAGACTTTGCCAGAACTCCTCAGGCCTTGTTTACAGCATACCAACCTGTTCAAAATGCCTTTCCTCTATAGGTTGCTAAAAAACAGAGTGTTTTTTAGACAATCATAGGTTTCTAAAAACAGTAATATGTTTTTTAGACAATCTCTTTAATTAAATACACACAATCTGAAATAAATGGGTTTAGTGTTTTGGTTTGTGGGTTTGTTTGCTTGTTTTTTTAATAAGGGCCTTTATCTCAATACAAACAAAAATGCGTGTGACTGCAATGTCCAATATATTGCAGAGTATCTGGAGTTCACATCAAGTTCTTGATGACAAAAGAGATACTATTTTAAGTGTCTGTCAAGTTACTAGACGCACACAATTGCCTGGCCCTAACCAACAATTAGAGACCACTGAACACAACTGTAAATGTGAAGCAGGCTGACATATGAAGCTCTACTCCAACAATAAATAACTATGTTAGACCTTGATAAGGTTACAACTGCGCTTGTTTCTCTGTCCTCATATTTGTTCCCCTTGTAGTTAAGAATGTGTACTCAGAGATGAACAGTTTGGGTTATGACTCCTATATCACCTAAATGCCAGCAGACAGAATCCTAACAGTGAAAAAACCTATGGCGCCATCAGTCACTTCTTCAGTCTGCTGGGACAGAGAATTTTCAGCTATAACCCTAATATATATTTAATGACTGCAGATAGAAGAGTTGCATCATTACTAGGAGTATTCGGTGTCATCTGATACTTTTGGATGTTGAAAAATGCATAAATAAGTTAAATATGAATAGATTCCATCACCTACACATGCTGCATTTTACATTTGCTTCTTGTGTTGTACCTGCGCTTCTATTATCTTAGCGTCCAGAAATAATAACACTCCATTTCCCATTACTGCTATTACCCGAATCCTACAAAATATTTTTTTCTTTATTTTTCTCACTTCATCTGCACTGCACACAAAAAAACAGTTCCTCCCATTCCCATTCTTCTAATTTCCCCTATCACTTGTATGACTGCTCATCTGTTGCAAAAAGCTTGACAGCTCTTAACGGCAGAGTTAACAGCAATCAATGGCAAAGGTGTTACATGCTGCTCTAAACGCTATTCATGATATGAGTCTAAAGACTGAAATAAGGATTTGCAACTTCAGGCCTTTAGAATATCGATCTCGGTCTCTGTACGGTAATACAGGCTTGCTTTATAAAATTATTTACCACGTTGACTTCAGATTCCCACAGTTTCTTCATCTGTACTTTCTGCCTGCAAATACAGGATTGAATGTTGTTTCTAACTCAAAGCTGATGAGGCAGCCCATTGAATTTGGTTCACCAAACAAAAAAATAACACTTTCAGTTAAGGATTTACTTTGTCATTATAATGTGAGGTGCTCACAGAACACACGTCAATGTGAAAGAATAATTTCATTAATACATGTTGCAAAATCATTCAAGGACTCAAAGATTCAATAAAAGTCTAAGTGTTCCCATCCAGTGGCAGGACCCAACTCCTACTGATCTCAACAGGAGTTAAGATCACACATTCTGGAGGCAGAATTGTGGACCAAATTGTATTGGGTTATTGGGTTAATGTGGCAAGGTGCTGGTAGAGGGCGTGCTGCAGGGTGACCTCTCTGAGGAGAGGCCAGGGGCTGCCCCACGCCAGACACAGCTGGCTCCAGCAGACCCACCACAGGGCACAACTGAGCCTGTCAGCCAAGCTGATGGTGCTTCTGGGAAAGCCTGTGTAAGAAAGGGCAAAATGCCAGCTAGGCAGAGGAATACAGAAAAAAAAGGGTCAGAAACAGGAGAGTGAACACCGAGGCGAGAGCAGGAGGAGGGGGAGGAGGCACGCCAGGCGCCAGAGCAGTTTCCTCTGCAGCCCATGGAGAGGACCAGGCTGGAGCAGATATCCACACTGCAGCACATAGAGGACCCCAGGCTGGAGCAGGTGGACGTGCCCTGAAGCCCATGGAGAGCCCACGCAGCAGCAGGTTTATCCTGGAGGACTGCAGCCCGTGGGAAGTAACCACACTGGAGCAGGGGAAAAGTGTGAGGAGGAAGAAGGAGAGGCAGAGAGGAGCGGTTATGGACTGACAGCAACCTCCCATTCCCCATCCCCCTGCACCACTCCAGGGAAAGGATGGGGGGGTGCAGAGGTAGACGAGTTGGAGATGAAGGGGTGAAGTTGAGCCTAGGAAAATCAGGGAGGGTATGGGTGTGTTTAGGTTTTGTCTGTCTTTCTTCACCATCCAACTCTATTTTAATCGGCAACAAATTTTGCTCTTTAGCCAAGGTTAACTCACCACAACCATAAAGCTGAATGGGGGAGATGAATCCCAGCAACATACTTTATGGCACTTACCCTGGCTGTGAAGGCATCCCATGCATGAATCCAAACTTTCATCTTTTCCATACCTCTCTCTTCCATTTACTTAATCAGTAGACTATGACTTCTTTTTAATCCCCTTGTATATGACAGAATTCCACAGGGAGCTCAGACTTTAAGTGCCTGTCTTGTTTGTTAAAATGTTTTCTGCCCTCTAATGTGCTTGTGTTTTATGTTTGAAATATAAAATTTATTTCTAAAACCTGAAATTATTTCAGTATTATTGAAAACATTATTCTTACAGAAAATTTCAGTGAAGATGGCTTTAATGAAGCCAAATAATTTTAATATGAAAACAAAGCTTTTTAGTGTACAGTTTAAAAACAATTCTTGTAGGTATTCCTTGAAAACAATCCTGAATGCGAGGCTAATTCTCTGTATTCAGAGTATAGTGCGTTCTTCTGAAATAGTAGCCCTGATCACGGTGAAGATAAAGTAGGAAAAGATGTCATTGGAATGGAAAATGGTTTTCAGATAGAAGTTGAGTTCAGCAGAAGAGAAACAAGATCTTTCTTATCATAGTCTACTGCCACAGTCCGCAATTCAAGTACTACACTATAGTGGAAGAAACCCACAGAAGCGTATCACAACCAAAAGGATTCAGCTGGCAGTTTAAAACACTGCTTCCTTAGTACTTACTAAAAGCCCATGAAGTATCTGCCACATGCATTTAGAACTTCTATTCATATACAAATTTCTCAGTGTCATAACATTTAACTTTTTGATTATACCAACTGAGCTAAATGTTTCTGTGTTTGGTCCTTCTCTGCAATTAGTCTTTCAGTGTCTGAAATACAAAACTAATATTGCAGAATAAGGACTGGCACTAATTAGATGTTGCCAGTGACAGAAGAAGGATGAACTCGCCATGTAAACTTCAGCTGGCCCAAGACCTCACTTAACTCCCTATCAAATGACTGCAGATCTACACCAGAATGTTCAAGAAAAGATTCAGATCCAATGAGTTGTCCAGAGCGCACAATGAAGATAAACACTGGCTCCTCTATGACATTATAATCATTAAAGAATCAATGGCAAATTAAACTACACAAACCCAGAGGGGAAAGAAGCACTACGGTAAATGCAGGGAAAGGGTCTAATCAATTATTTTCTTCCACTTCCTGAGTATAGTGTTATTTATCACTACAGCCAGTGCAGCATTCAGCAGAAGCAAAGACACTGAGACAAGACCAAAACCAATGCTGGTTGGTTTTTGTGGGGTTTTTTTGTTTGTTTGTTGTTGGGTTTTTTTAGGGTTTTGGTCAGATTTTTTTGGGTTTTGGTTTGTTTTGGGTTTTTGTTTTGTTTTGTTTTACAATTTGATTATTATTGTTGTTTCTCTCAGAAATGGTAACCAGCTTAGTAAGACTAGATTTTGACAGTATGTTGAATAGAAAAAAAAGGACACAAAGGTCAGATAATTAAGATTCTAACTTGTAAAAATAACTTCCCTTTATGAAATCTATGCGCTTTGGTAAATATTATGCTAGAGAGGTTGTTTACCTACAGGATGAGACAGAATTTTGATTTGCCATGTACCCAAAGGTCATTTTAGAGTGGACTGGCAAAATTTCACCGAAAGCAGAAAAACCAGAAAATCTTCCTTTTGAAGCAATGTTAACTCATTCTGAATGCAGAAAATTTTTAAAGTGTGTCATGCATTGTTAAGCCTGCTGATATTGGATGGACCTTCCTGTACTTTCAATCCTTTTGTTATAAGGTCCTAACGTCTGTTGGTCAGGCAGCCAGTTATCTGGTCATCTCTGCTTAGGCTAACACTACTTCTGAACTTACTCC